CACTGAGCTAAAAGGGTGTCTGGGGGCCATACTCTCGAGGTTTCTCCAGTCTCCTTTAGGCCAGTAAATCTGGTCTATTTTTTGTGAGTTAGAATTATGCTCTACATCCTTCCCCAGCTCTGTCCAGAACCCTGTGTTGTGATCCTGGTCAGAGCAGTCGGTGGTAGCCGGGCACCATCTAGCTGTACTGGACTCAGTCCGGTGGAGGCCTTGGTAGCTGTGGGAAAAATTTAATTTTCAAGATAAAAATGAGATGTGAAAGAAATTTTATAATTGGGATTATTCATGGTCCTATAGTTAGGGCTTTTTGTTTTGCCAATTTCCTAGGTCATTCGTGTACTTCATGGTTGGGCTAAGGGTTTGTTGTTGTTTGTTTTTTAAATACTAGGATTAAAATAACTTTTGAGATCTAGTCCTTTTAATTCGACACTTGCTTTAGTACTAGGGCAAGCTGTATTGTGAACTTTTTGCATATTACTGCTTGCTTGATTATGTTTCTTACTGCTGTAGATTCTTTGAGGTACAAATTGTTAGTTACACTGTCAGTTGGTATTAGTAGCTCTGTTTTTGCTTGTTTTCTTGTTATAATATTTATTCCTCATATTCACTTGCTTTACTGTTGAGGATTACCTTGCTCTGCTTTCAATGAACAAAGGACTTAGCACTGTTTTAGAAACCTGCTGAAGTACCCAAGTATTTGTTGGCTCAGTGTTTTTTCTTTTGGCCAATAATCATTGCTAGTTTTTTCCAGAGACATCCCTAGAGCTTTAGTCTTCAGAGTTCATACCTGTTGCAACCGAAGAGAAATTTACTAGTTACATATTTTTTCTTCTGGAAAAACGGTTGGAAGAAGACTAGAGTGAAATCTCCTACCCTGTTATATAGGAAAAAAGGGATTGGGCTTGTTTTAAAGTTTTAGGACTTTAAGCCATGTGGAAATTATCTTACACAGCACTTTAAATTGAAAGTACTGACAAACCAAATTTAATCTTCAGATTTAATTCTACAACCATTTATCAAATATTTGAGTGCTTACTTTTCTAAGCGTGTTGTTGTTCAGTGCCGTTGAGTAAATTTCTGATTAACAGTGACCTCATGTGACAGAGTAGAACTGTTCTTAGGGTTTTCTAGTCTGTTAACTTTACTGGAGCAAATCTCCAGGTCTTTTCTCCCAGCCTTGGGTTCAAACTGCCAGCTGAGCACTTAACCGTTGTGCTAAGCTAGTAATACTTTGAAGAGCAGAACATAAAAATCTTGCTGGCACAGAGTTTACATTTGGTGTGGGAAGACAGATAATAAACTAAATAATTAAGTTAAAAAATGTGATGTGTTATATAGTGATAAGTGTCCTGGAGAGAAAATAAAGCAGGGAAAGAGAATGAAAATTGGGGGGGGGGGGTGCGGGTAGAGCTTTCCAGGCAGAGGGAATTATAAGTACAAAGGTCTGAGGTGGGAGAGGCCTGGTATGTCAGAGGAACAGCGAAGAGTGGAGGAAACAGTGTGACCATTATAGGTAAGAACTTTGGCTTTTACTTTGAGACAAACCATTAGAGATTTTTCAGCCAGGAGTGGCATGATCTGATTTACATTTTAATGGGTTCACTCTTGGCTTGCTATGTTGAGAATATAGACTACAGGGGGGACAAGAGCAAAAGCAAATAGAGTGGTTTTGAGATTTTAGCAGTAAGGCAGATGAGATATGTTATTGGATGGTGGCAGTGGAGAAAAGTGGTTGAATTCTTGGATGTATTTTATAAGCAGAGCTGTGGATCAGATTTTTGAAGGGTGGTTATGTTTGAGAGAGAATGTGTCAAGGATGACTTCAAGGTTTTTGGCCAGAGCAGCTGAAAGAATGGAATTGGCATTAACTGAGATGAAAAACACTGTAGGACAAGGTGGAGAGATTACCAGTGACTAAGTTTTGAACATGCTAATTTTGAATTGCCTGCTAGACATTTGTCAAGTAGAGAAATCAAATAGGCAGTTTATCATATATGACCTGGAATTTAGTGAAATGGTTGGCTTAGAGAAATTAACAGGAATTTATTAGCATCTAGATTGTATTTAAGCCATGAGGCTAATAAGTAGGATCGATGAGGGAGTAAGTATAGATAAAGAGAAGAGAATTAAAGACAGAGTCTTGGGGCATACTAGCATTAAGAAGTCAGAGAAATTACCAGAAACTAGTGAAGGATTATGAGGGGAGTGGTCAGTGAGGTTAGAGTGATACCAGAATATTGTGGCCTTAAGCCAAGTGAAAAAAAAAAAATTTATGGAAGGGGGGAGATTGGCTGTGTCAAATAATAGGTCAGGTAAGATAAGGACCGATAGTGACACTAGAGGTGAATGGTGACTTGAAAGGACAGTTTCAGTGGAGTGATGAGGGCAAAAGCCCGACTGGTATGCGTTTGAGAGAACAGGAGGAGAAGAATTGGAGATAGGGAATGCAGATAACTCTTAAAAGTTGTGTTGTAAAGGGGAGAAGAGAAATGGGGCAGGACCTGGAGGGGATGTGGCCTCATTTTTGTTTTGAAAAGGTTGGAGAAATGATAGCATGTTTGTTGTTGATGGGATTGAATTCAGCAGAGAAGGAAGAATTGATGACACAAGAGAAGGTAGGAATTTCTGGAGCAATGTCTGAGTAGGGGAACGGAGATGGGATCTAATTACTGGCCAATTTGGAAGCCTTAGCTAAGAACATGGAAGTTCATCCAGAGTAACAGGTGAGAAGGTGGAGTAATAAGTATATGAGCTGAGATTCACATAGTAGAAGGGTAGATTTGTGTAAAATGTGGAAGATTTTAGTACATAGGATTTTGTGAGGATTAAATAAATTAATACTTGTATGATGATTACAGAACATAGTAAGTGCTCGGTATTTTTATTGTCACTTGTAGAGGTAACTGTAAAAATATCGTATATGCAGTTGTTAAGGTTGTAATGTTTGTATGTTACAATATGATTTACAGTTTCCTTAAACTACCTGTGTGAGTAATATTCTGTAAACAGTGATTTTCACTTGAGCCAAATAGATCAGTGATTACTAGTTATACCATCTTTTCTTTCCAGAAATCCTGACTACCAGTAATGCCATTCTCACAAGATAATCAACTTAAGTACAGCCAAAAAGGACAAAATTTTCATAGCTGTAATCAGAAAAACTGTAATTTTAAAAATTATTTATTTATTTTGTTGTTGAGAATATAACAAGCAAAACACACCAATTCAACAGTTTCTACATGTACGATTCAGTGGCATTGATTACATTCGAGTTGTGCAACCATTCTTACCCTCCTTTTCTGAGTTGTTCCTCCTCCATACTGCCCCCTAAGTTTCGTATCTAATCTTTTGAGTTGCTGTTGTCAGCTTGATTCCATATACATACATCTTGAACAAACACAACACTCAAGGCGGACATTCCTTACTAGTTAAGCTAAACTGTTGCTTGGTTTTAAGAAGTCTTCAGGGGATATTTTAAGGTTTAAAGATTATCTCAGGGTAATAGTTTCAGGGGTTCATCCAGCCTCCATGGCTCCAGAAAGTCTAAAGTCCATGAGAATTTGAAATTATTGTCTTTATTTTCCCACTTTTGTTATGGCTTTAAAAAAAGTGTTTTGTTTTTCTTTAATATTTGGGTAAAAGTTTTTTTTTTTCTGGTAACATTTTATTATGTTTTAGGTGAAAGTTTACATAGCAAATTAGGTTCCCATTTAACAATTTTTTAAAATAATTTTTTTCATTATTGTACTTTACATGAAGGTTTACAGAACAAGCTAGCTTCGCATTAAACAGTACACGTACTGTTTTGTGACATTGCTTACCAACCCCACGACATGTCAACACTCTCCCTTTCTCGACCTTGGGTTCCCTGTTACCAGCTTTCCTGTCCCCTCCTGCCTTCTAGTCCTTGCCCCTGGGCTGGTGCGCCCTTTTAGTCTCGTTTTGTTTTATGGGCCTGTCTAATCTTTGGCACTGAAGGGTAAACCTCAGGAGTGACTTTGTTACTGAGCTAAAAGGGTGCGTGTGTGGGGGGACGTACTCTCAGGGTTTCTCCAGTCTGTCGGGCCAGTAAGTCTAATCTTTTTTTGTGAGTTAGAATTTTGTTCTACATTTTTCTCCAGCTCTGTCTGGGACCCTCTATTGTAATCCCTGTCCCATTTAGCAATTTTTATACAAATTGTTTTGTGGCATTGAATATTTTAGGGTATAGTCTTGGAGGTTCCTCTAGTCTCTATTGGTCCAATACATCTGACCTTTTTTTGGGAATTTGAGTTTTGTTCTACATTTTTCTTTCTTTGTATCTGGGACCTTCTGTTGTGTCCCTGGTCAGAACGGTTGGTACTGGTAGCCAGGTGCCGTCTAACTCTTCTGGTCTCAGGCTAGACAAGGCCGTGGTTCATGTGGGCTATTAGTCCTGTGGACTAGTTTCTTCTTTTGGGGTTTGGTTTTCTTCATTCTCTTTGTTCTAGATGAGTAGAGACCAGTAGTTTTTATCGTAGATGGTTGCTTGCAAGCTTTTAAGACCCTAGACACTACTCACCAAACTAAGATGTAGAACATTATCTTTATGAATCTATGTTACGCCAGTTGACCGAGTTGTCCCACGAGACTATGGTCCTGTGCCCTCAAACCCAATAAAACAATTCCACAAGGTGTTTGGTTATATCTAGGAAGTATCCGTAACTATGCCCCCTATGTGCTTTATTATGTGTATAAATATACATCCAGTACACACAAACATTTCTATATGTATGCCTACAGATACACCTATACATGCATGCTCCTATACTCAACATGTGCCTTCCTGTACCCATGCATGTATACATATCTGCTTATGTAACCACACACATTATTTGTTTGGTCTTTATCACCGTTGTTGCGAAATTATGTTACAGCATTTACCAAAATTATCCCTTATTCTTGCGTACTTCTTAGTGTCTTCATTTACCTTGGAGAAGTTATGCAGATTTCACCCATATTGGGTATGGCCTTTCCCATCACCAGAAATAACAAGTGTCTACTATCTAGAAAGCGATTCCTTCTTCCATCCCTGGTAACTATCAAAGAACATTGTTTTCTGTGTGTATACTTATACTTTTTATAAAAGTGAGACCATACAATATTTGTCTTTTTGTGATTGACTTGTTTCACTCAGCATAATGTCTTCCAGATTCATCCATGTTATTATAAGATGTTTCACAGACTCATTGTTATTCTTTATAGTTGCAGGGTAAAAGTTTTTGTAACAAAATTGTAACATTCTAATAGAAAATGGAATTCTTATACTTTGGTTACAATGGGAGTAGCAGAGAAATCCAAATATATTCATATAAGTGATATCTGCAGTTTTTGGACCAGTTGTAGAGGGAGAGTTGGAACCTGGACATACTTGGGAAATCTACTGAAACTCTCACTGACTTTAGATATGTTTATATTTTGAAATTAAATTGAGAACATTTAAAATCAATAAATATATCACTATCACTGTCAGTTTTAAGGGTGAGATGGCGCAGTGGTTAAGTGTTTAGCTGCTAACCGCAAGGTTGTCAGTTTGAATCCCGCAGCCACTCCTTGGAAATCCTATGGGGCAGTTTTATTCTGTCTTCTAGGATTGCTTTGAGTCGAAATCAACTTGAAGGCATTGGGTGTGGTTTTTTGGTCAAGGGGCTGGAAGGGTGGAAGAGGGAGAAATGAAGAAGTCTGATTAGAGAGTCCAGATCTTATGTCAAAGAGACAGGATTTCTCTGATGGAGAATCAGATCTTGGTGCTACAGAATCCTAGGTTCTGACTGGGTGGTTGGGGAAGAAGTAATAAGACCAAGGCAGATTAATTTGGTAAGTCAAGACTTAGAATGTGAAAACTTTTTAGGAGACGTTTAAATGATCTGGGAAAGGTGGAAACTAGGGAAAGTTAAAGAGGAGTTGATTTGAATCAAACACTTATTATTGAAAATAATTTAAAATTTACTGTCTGAAATGCCTTTGGACCTAAATTGTTTACATAAAATTATGCTTTCCAACATCCCTCATTTGATAACTGAGTGTTCCACATTTGAAAACAGAATATTCTAAGATATAGAACAAATGAGTTTAGACATGGATCCTATAGTTTAAAGGCATATCAAACTATGGAAAGTAATATGCCATGTGAAAGATAAAAGTTACGATGCTGTAGGTAATCATAAGAAGAGGAGATTACCTTCTGCAAAAAAGGCTTCATTGAGGACGTAGTATTTTGGGATGACCCTTGAAGATGTAAGACAGAAATGTTGGTGAAGATATTTCAGGTAACAGCATGCACTATTAGGTGGGAAGGGTAGTGTCTGTATATGGGATAAATAGTTTAGGTTATAATTAAATCCAAATAAGATATTTCTTAAAGCACAATTTGGTTTTTCTTCCAATGAGTCCTTTAGAAGTTTGTGGGTGAGGTGGGTGGAAAGGGAAAAGAGTGAGAGGGTAAAACAAATAAACATGGCAGAGTAGTCAACTATATAAAGAAATTGTTTTTTAATTAGGCAAGAGAATATGTTTGAAAAACATAGGAATGTTGATATGAAAAAAAGCTGGTAAGCAGAGGAAAAAAACTGGATAATTTGGTATGCTCTTAGTTTTTAAAATTAAAATTAACTTTATTGCAAAGTCAACCTTTGTTTATTTAAAAATTTTTTTTTGTTGTGCTTTAGATGAAGATTTACAGAACAAATAGTTTCTCATTAAACAGTACACATACTGGTTTATGACACTGGTTAACAACCCCATGACATGTCAACACTGTCCCTTCTTAACCTTGAGTTCCCTATTACCAGCTCTCCCATCCCCTCCTGCCTTCTAGTCCTTGTCCCTGGGCTGTTGTGCCCCGTTAGTCTCATTTTGTTTTATGGGGCTGTCTAATCCTTGGCTGTAGGGTGTACCTCGAGAGTGACTTCATTACTGAGCTAAAAGGGTGTCCGGGGGCCATATTCTCGAGGTTTCTCCAGTCTCTGTCAGGCCGGTAAGTCTGGTCTTTTTTTTGAGTCAGAATTTTGTTCTACATTTTTCTCCAGCTCTGTCCAAGACCCTCTGTTGTGATCGCTGTCAGAGAAGTCAGTGGTAGTAGCCCGGCACCATCTAGTTGTACTGGACTCAATCTGGTGGAGGCCATGGTAGTTGTTGTCCATTAGTCCTTTGGGCTAATCTTTCCCTTGTATCTTGTTTTCTTCATTCTCCCATGCTCTCGAAGGGGTGAGACCAGTGGACTATCTTAGATGGCTGCCCACAGGCTTTTAAGACCCCAGACGCTACTACCAAGGTAGAAAGTAGAACATTTTCTTTATAAACTATGTTATGCCAATTGAGTTAGATGTTCCCGAGACTGTGGTCCCCACGGCCCTCAGCCCAGCAACTCTGTCCCTCAGGGAGTTTAGATGTGTCTGTGGAGCTTCCAGAAACCGTGGTGGCGTAATGGTTAACTGCTACAGCTGCTAACCAAAAGGTCAGGAGTTCGAATCCACCAGGCGCTCCTTGGAAACTATGGGGCAGTTCTACTCTGTCCTGTAGGGTTGCTGTGAGTCGGAATTGACTTGACAGCAGCGGGGTTTTTTTTTTTTTTTTTTGGCTTA